CAGCAACATCACGTGTGCTTCACACAGTATTCCCAACCCACGCGGGGAACCAAACCCGGATCTTCTGCGAGACGAGTAAACGCTTTAACCACTAGGCTACCCCTCTCTGCTCCAAGATCCAGACACGATTAAGGGAGGCAACACTGAAGAGCGTTTTGTGCCTCATTTCACCACCAGGTCACCTACGCCCCAGACAATTATAAATCCAGTCTCGTTAGTTTTATTCTCACTTATTTACATTTGCACTCAGCTCCATTTTCATTGTAGACATTATAACGTAAAGCACTCATGAAGCTGTGCTCGGTGCAGTGTAACCCGGAAGTAGTGTACGAGTTGTCCGCCCATGGTGCTCCCGTGTCCCGGGACGTGACAGCGTGATGATATGAGGTAAACTGAGGACACAGTGGCGAGACTAGAGGAAACATTGCCAACTTGTCACGAACTTTAAATAGGTCGAATACCACATAAAGTAGATTTTCAGCTTGATAACACCATGGACATTGAAAAAACGTGTCAGACTCTTATTAATTGCTCGTCCCGGGGAGATCCGGGTACGAATTGGTCTTAAGCAACCCATGCTTGTCGTAAGAGGCGACCTACGGGATCGGGTGGTCGGGCTCGCTGACTTGGTTCATGCATGTCTTCGTATCCCAATTGCGTAGATAGATGCACGTGATGTCGGTCACTGGATTGTCAGGTCAAGACTCGCGTATTTAAAGAACCGTTAAACAACAAACAAACAAACAAACAAACAAACAAACAAATGCCAATTGATTTATTATGAACTTTTAATTGTCTTTGATCTTTTTCTGAATATGATTATTTTTACTTACTTGCCATAGATATGGATGCAACGAAATTTATTGACTTATTAATTTGATCGATTATTTTCCGAAAAATGTTGATTGCTTACACAGTTTATATCGTGTCTTCGGTATTTCCGGCAATGACTTAACGTCAGATGTGAATGTAAGAAGCAGTCAGCCAAAGGCAAGCTTTATAAAAAATCGTCTGTTAATTATTGTTGAAAATTAGCAACCACTGGTGCTGCTTCTGCGCGGCACAAAAAACCAAGTGCTTACAATTTGAAAAGATTACAAAAATATAAGTACAACATAAAACCAAATATGATATAGTTTAACTACAATGTAAATTCATGTTCTTTCAGACTTTTGTTATAGTAACATGATCTTTGCTTGTGAAAATCGTTCATGAGTTAGTTCGATAATTTTGTGGTTTGCTTGTTGCGTTAGAATCGAAGATATCCGAGCACGATTAATGCTCAAGCTGTTCTGCACTTACAACGTGTCATGTCCTGAACAGTGAATGGATTATGTGATATATCTCTGTTTTAGATGTATTGTACGGACCTGCATGTGTTTAGAATGGGTTTTAATTTATAAGTGTGTGAGGAATATATTGTTTGCTTATATTTAGTTTTCGACTGGTGCGTCCCTGGCAACGACTCACGCTGTTGGGGTACGATGCCTCATACTTCGCCCAGTAACACACCGTAACTGCATAAACCTTCATTGGTGAGCTCTTAATTCACCGAAGGGATAATGAGACCCAATACGTGAATCCCCACGGGGTCAATCCGTACACGCAGGCACGTTTCGGGCGTGCGTGCGTGCAACATTATAATAATTACCATTGATTCTTTATTGACCTTTAGGCTTAAAGGTAAACAGGGCGCGAATTAATACAGGTATATAAGTATGTGTATTCATTCACACTTTTGGCACAGCTGGTGTGTTTTGTTACAGAAATAAGCGTATGAAAGATCGGTAATGGTCCTGATCATAAAGACTGCGATTGCAATATCCGAATAATAATTCTGCTAGAATTATAAAGAATATTAAATGTCCAAGATTTTCAAATGGCAAAATTGCAGTATGTTTAGTAAAACATAAGGTGATGTGTCAAAGGATCGATGTCAAAAGGTATCGTTTTTCATTGGCTTTTGTAGGTGTGAGTCAAATGATAGAACTTTTAGTTGTCATAGCGAGAATACATACATTAAGTGATTTCCTTATTGAGCAATGAGAAACAGGTGCGGTCCCCAGGCCCCCAGAGAGGTGGCGCTTGTAAATGAGATTGTGGCTCCGGGAAGTCGTTATCATCTAGGATGTTTGGGGCTGTGCGTGGGCTGCACATGACTTATATTGAAGGGTTTTGTCGCTTATATTATCTTATCAACAACATTGCTATGTCCGTCTAACCTATAACATTTCTATATATATATCACATAGGCATAACCATCGGAGTGAATACAACTTACAACCAATACATAAAGGCATTCTAAGGGATCGGATTTTCTAAAATATCTTTATCTACGTATTAGCTCCTAGGGAAGGTCAAATGCTAAACGGGAAACTTATTGGTACACAATTTAGGGTTATTTTAGCGCCTGGTGTCGCTGTTATCGTTGATCGATTCGTGTGGTTCCCGCCGCTGTGTTTCTTTTTGAGCCCAATGGAACCTGTTCCGCCGGATAATCGCGACTGGTTGTCCTCTGGATTTGGCGTTTTGTATTTATAATAAAAAGGGTATATACTATTCTACTCAACCGCTAAATGGTTATTTTAGTGGTGACCTGTGTAAAGCACACGACAGCAGATAGCCTCGGTAACGGTATCTCTCTTCTGGTCCAAATAAACGATTTTGATATTTTGATATCGTTTCGCTGGTAAAAAATAACTATTTAGAAGTCGGTTGTTTGTTTGTTTATTTTTTAACGCCACACTCAGCAATATTCCAACTCTTTGACGGCGATCTGTAAATAATCGAGTCTGTACCAGACAATTCAGTGATTGGCCATGGCATCATGAGTATCGATCCACGCAATTGGGAAACGATGACATGCATCAACCAAGTCAGCGAGCCTGCCCACCCGATCCCGTTAGTCGCCTCTTACGACAAGCATAGTCGCCTCTTACAGCAAGTAAGGGTTTACTGAAGACCTACTCTCTACCCGAATCTTCACGGGTCATATTTTTAGGTCACCGGGGTAGAAACGATATGAAGATATAAGATGCATAATATCTCAAAGGACCTCTATGGTTGAAACACATCTTAATGAGTGTTCATAAACATTCCGACGATTACTGCGTGGTGTTCAAAGAAAGACCTTTCTCACTGATTATATTGAGATACATACTATACTTCAACGTTAAGCTCACTAATGTCCATTGTGTTATTAAAATGTATTTTAGACCAAGTACATCTCGAAAACTCACCATGCTACGTAAAACACTTTTCAACTATTCCTGACAACATTTCGACTTTAATAACTGATGGACTAAATAAGAGTCTTCTACGGAACCGTAGAGGGGACATCGGATGAGAAAATAAATATCAATAGTAAGGCGTGGCCACGAGATAATAAGTCGAGGCCACGAGATAATAAGTCGTGGCCACGAGATAATAAGGCGTGGCCACGATATAATAAGTCGAGGCCACGAGATAATAAGTCGTGGCCACGAGATAATAAGGCGTGGCCACGAGATAACAAGTCGTGGCCACGATATAATAAGTCGAGGCCACGAGATGAATAAGGCGTGGCCACGATATAATAAGTCGAGGCCACGAGATAAATAAGGCGTGGCCACGACATAATTTAGCCAATGAAAACTCAGGTTACGTATTTTCGAATTTTAGGATGGAGGACCTCGAGCGTTTTCTCACAGACAGGGGAGTTCCTAGCGAAAACGTTCAGCTACTTGTTGCTGACAAGGTAAAAAGACGATAAGGTTTTCGTGTAAAACGTACTCTTCAGGTTTGCATGTAAAAATCACATTTATTACTGTATTTTCACGGTAAACGGTTGACTTGGCCAAGGTGTATGTACCATTAGGTGATGAAGAAGTAAGCTCTGCTTTTAAGCGATTTTGTACCATATTTATGAATCTTGACCATTTCCCACGAAGACCTAGAGACGAAGTTCAGTGTTTTCGTGCAACTCAAGTTTTGAACGGGCGAATCTTGAATATTACTGATATACATTGCAATAATCATTGTAATGCTATCCTACATACAAAATCTTTTTGACATCATCAGACAACCAAATATATTGCTGTTCTCTTTGAGTTTTGTTTTTAACAAAACCCAATAAACAAATATAGAAATATAATGAAACAAACAAACTATTAAACAAAATTGGATGTGCTTAAATAGTTTCATAGCCTAAATGTAATAATGTGCACAACATGCATTGGCAACATTTATCAGTAAAGAGCGAAGTAATAAGATATATCGTGAATATTGAAATAATCATTTGTGCTGACAATTAGCATCGATTTTCGTAGCTTATTTTCGATTTTGAACAGGCTTAAAGTTCTGGGATACAGTCCTTACCATTAGATTGTTAAATGATTTAGAATTAAATTATAAGATAAATAACAGGTAACATTAAGATGAGTTGAGAATTATTACTATTATTCATGTGATTTAAAATATAAGCTTTGATGTGATTAAACCACTGACGAGATACAAATATTTATGTTAAGATCGATCCAAGCCTTATCCTTGAGATGAAGGATGAAGAGCTTTCTAGATATATTCCTACATACGGGGACAGGCTTGCGACGGTAGTCTGGTGCAAGTCAAGGCAATTGGAAAACCCAGAAAAACAGACCAAATCAAGCGGATTGTTCGACAGAATTCGAGAAAAAATGTCAAATCGAAGAAAGAGGGGTCAGAAAGATTTTGACTTTCTGCAAGGTAACAAAAACGCAAGAAAAACATCTCGGCGAATTGAAGTTGGGTGGATGGATTTTGACACGAAGGTTAATGCCTTTAGGCAAGTGCGGAGTCAAAACGGGGGTGGGACAAGACATTTATCAGTTTATAGGGATGCTGGACAAGCAGATATTCTGGCAGTAGCCAAACAACTGTTCTTTACCGATGGTGAAAGCAAAAGGGGAAACGAGGCGCAATTCACTTTCTCCATCAAAGATTTTAAAGGGGAAGAAATGGGCCAAAAAACAGTGGCTAATGTATATGAGGAAACTAAAGTAAAGATTATTCGTTTCTACATGTACACAAAGAAAAAAGAGAATGAGCAAGATCTGTCAACTGACGTGGTCCAACACCAGTCTAACAATGAATCGGCGAGTCAAAAAAAGGTAAAACCATATTTTGATATCAGGTAAAAGTAAAATTGATTTTTTTGCCATACAACATAAATAAGGTTGGAATAAACCTTCTCTGAGATGTCTAGTTTCTAGAAGCCTCACACCTCAGCGCCATAAAATAACATTGGTAATACCATCACATCGAACGCTTTCATCAAACAGTCAAGTGGAGAATGGACTTTTCTTGCATATACATACAGACGAATATACATGCATCTTTCACAGTGTAAAGGCAGGGGTCAATATTGTTGGATGCAAAATCTGCGAGAAGGAGCGTCACACTTAAACATACGAAAATATGTGTATTGCATGCGATTAGAAATTTGATTTATCTTAATATATGCAGTTGTATGAAATCCCTTAGATTTGTTCTATTGGAGATTATAGACATTGTTGTTTTTACCCCTAAATAATCTGGACAATGGAGATTGATGACGGCACTCCAATTGCTTCTACGGGAACGCCTACTGCTTCTCCTGGGACGCCTACTATTTCTACTGGGATGCCCACTGCTTCTACCAGGACGCCCACTGCTTCTACCGGGACGTTTACTGCTTCTACCGGGACGTCTACTGCTTCTACCGGGACGTCTACTGCTTCTACTGGGACGTCTACTGCTTCTACCGGGACGACTACTGCTTCTACGGGGACGCCGACTGTTGTTTTCAACTCGGGCAGTGTACGTATAAGCATTAAACACGTGGAGTATCATACTTACAGACCCGTGAAGATCCGGGATAGAATTGGTCTTCAGTAACCCATCCGTGTCGTAAGAGGCGACTAACGGGATTGGGTGGTCAGGCTCGCTGACTTGGTTGACACATGTCATCGTATCCCAATTGCGTTGACCGATGCTCATGCTGTTGATCCCTGGATGGTCTTGTCCAGACTCGATTATTTACAGACCGCCGCCTTATAGTTGGAATATTGCTGACTGATGCGTAAAAATAAACTCACTCACTCACTCACTCACTCATAATTACAATTGAAATGAATGCCTAGACTTCTTGACACCGTAGTGCTTTGTTTTAAATCAACTCCTGACGAAAACAAGTGATGTGTTCCAACAAATGGGTTATACATTTCTTGGGTTTACAATAGAAAAAAAGCAATATGATGAATAATGACGTCATCCTTGTACGGTCATTCGGTAGAGATAAACTAGATTTCACAGTATATTGTCAAATAAAGCGTACAAGAAATAACATATTATATGATACAGTCAGTATAATCAAATATCTTGTAAAGTGAAAAAAATAGATATTTCACTCATCGCTATGCTACTTGGGAAAATATCTCCACTCGATAAGAGACAATTGCTATGTCATTGCAAACATCTAGTATCCACTATTACTATTTTCACAATGTCTCTTGTAAACGTCACAAGACATGACGTCAAACGTCACACAATCGATGATATACCTCTTCTGAACATTGTGATTTGAATTTTGGTTGGGAAAAATCAAGGTCAATGTCAATTGGATATTTATTACTTTTATCAACTTGTGTGGATATATTTTATATCGGAAGGCACTCGGTTGTGGTTCTTTATATTTTATACTTCATTGTTTCGTCTCCTTGCAGGCAATGCAGTCAATTTCAACTGATGATTCACTACCAGATCTAGACACTGTTTCATCAGAAGGCGGGGAAGCCGAACTTGGTGTTGAAGACCAAAATGGTGAAACTGTAGACAGCACGGTCACATACAATGACGTGGATTCAAGTGAAGGAAGTGACTTGGCAGTATTTGACATACCAAGGCAGTCCAACAGGAACCTTGTGTATACCCGGAGTGACCAGCCACTCCCCCTTCAGCCTCCACCCCTTAGACTTGAGGCCGTGCGGTGAGAGAATTATTTATGTGATTCAAACATAAGGGAAAACACAGTTTCATCAGTAAATTGAAATAACCTAAATCAGCCATGCATAAAACGTTTGTCATTTTCCCATTTGAGTTGCAGCTTATTAAAAATTCAAGTAGATATCGTCAATTTGTATCTTGAAAGTACTTTGCAATTATTTGTCATATGTTTATGCAAACATAAATCTTAGATGTAAAGTATAAGGTCAATTGTATTTCCTATAGGTTTTATCGAGTGGATTCTTTCATATCCATAACAAAACGGAAAAAGTAACATTAAAGTTATGTTACAAACTGTTAAAATAATTTGGTCTGAGTTCAGAATTGAAGTAAGACGAGTTCTATGGATGAACAACTTCTTTATTACAATTAGTGCGACGTTTCGGTGTAGATCCTAACACCTTTTTCATGCAAGTGATGAATTGTTTTCTTGTTTTATAGACATTCAGAAAATCTTCACGAGATATTGACCAGACTCGCGTCAGTGATCAATAAAGAACGACGGAACATTGTTAATGTCACAAGACGTAATGTAATGTCAGGTGGCATCAGAGCTTTCAACAGGCCATCTTTCAACCCTGAAAATGGCTTGTCTGTTAAGTTTGCTGGGGAATATGCAATAGACGATGGCGGGCCAAGCAGGGAGTTTTTAAGATTGCTCATGAAAGAAATATCTTCTCTCCCCATATTTACCGGTGACGAGACAAAAAAGATGCTGGATTTGAATTACACTGGTAAGAACTTGCATGTTTTGTGAAGTGTATTGATTTTTGCATAACCATTTGTTTACCTTGAACTGAAGTTTACTGATAGACCTTGGGGGTATTTGACTTGAACTGGACGGGATTATAGTGCTATTCAATATTTTGTATAATGATAGATTTAGCTCTTTGACATATTTATACCATTTGAGTATCATCACTAGATATATTGATACATATGTCAAGCTGTATCCCAGAAGGTAAAAGGTAGAATACACCCATAAAGTAGTATCGAAACAAATTATGTTTAAAGGTTTCAGGTGTCAGGAAATATAGCTACATGTACATCACAATTTTTATTGGTTCTGGTCAGTTTGCAACAGCTGACAGTAAACCTTTAAAGAAATATTCCGAGATCCAGATATGTGGGTGCTGGACTTCCTCATTGACAATAATTTTGTCAAGTTTGGGGATAGAACATTTCGCCAAACGGTTGGAATCCCCATGGGTAGTAACTGTGCTCCACTTCTAGCTGACCTTTTTCTCTTTGAATATGAGTCTGAGTGTTTAACAAATCTTGTTAAATCCAAGAAACGTTACCTTGCTAAAAAGTTTAATCTCAGTTTCAGGTACATTGATGACATTATTTCACACCAAGATAAATGAATTTCTGGATTTGATATATCCACCAGAATTAGAAATTAAAGAAACCACTGAGAGCCAATGCTGGGTTTCCTATCTCGACTTATGCATTGAGATTGACAATAATGACAGCATTTCTACTAAGCTATATATGACAAGAGGGATGATTTTAATTTTGCCATCGTCAACTTTCCTTACTTGTGTAGCAACATCCCCTCAGCTCCCGCCTATGGTGTCTGCATTTCACAATTGCTTCTGTACTTAAGAGCATGTACCTTTTACTCAGACTTCAAAAAAAGACATGCGCTACTAACAAATAAGCTCTTCAAGCAAGGTTACACTATCCAGGGCCTTGTCAGGTCTTTCCAAAAATTATATGGCAGACATTCGGAAGCCTGCACTAAATATGACAAGTCACACTTCATATGATGTGATGCCATCCCATTTAATGACATTCATGTTGAGTTTTCTAAACTCACGGCAAATTGGCATTTAATATTTTCTTGAAATTTTGTGAACGACGGGTGCTACCGGTAGGGCAGGAGAAGCTTACCATTTCGCGAACACCTTATCTCATCACAAGTCGGTGATTCATTCAAAATCTTTCAACACGATTTTGCCTTTCATGTCCAATGGAATCTGTTTCGACAGATATCGAGTTTGATTGTTCTTTGGCGTTGACGTTATTAATTTATCCATTCACTGATGTAAGTTTTCTTGTTTTAGCCCTACAAAGCGGTCTCTACTTGACAGCGGGGAAGATGATAGCATATTCTGTCGTACACAATGGACCTCTTCCACGGTTTTTCAGTCCACTGCTGTTCAGTACGCTTGTTGGCGACAGCCAAATTCAGCCAAAGATTGATGACATCCAAGATGTCGCACAGAGGGAAAGTCTACTGAAGGTCGATTCAAACTCAATTCCCTAATTAGGTTTACATGATGCGTTACAAGATGCGTAACTGCCTTATCAACATTTGTGTGGTCCTATAGTGTCATATATGTTTCATATATTCAAAAGCAAATGTATCAACTAGAATTATACTTCAGAAATATGTACTGTTTCAACACTGCTATATTTGGAATAGCACTATATGTAATAGTAACGATTCTAGTACTTTGTGGTTGAGTGCCATTCGGGCTTTGAACCCACACCATAAGAATCAGGCACCAATTTGCCAGCATTGAAACTTCCACCATGTACCACCTCAACCACTTGGCATCGAAGCGATTTGTTATTAAAAAAATAACATGTTTGCCTTTGTTCATCAATTAAATTGCATGAATTAACTGTTTGTATTAATTCTATAACTTCTTTTGTCTGAATTGTTAAAACTATAGAAATATGTAATGTTTTCCAGATACGAAATGCAGAGGATATGTCTTCGTTCCTGGATGCCGTAGGTGGTGCTGATCAACTTATCCAACTTGCTGGATGTTACTCTCTTACTCTCTCCTTAGCAAAGAAGGAAGAACTTTGTGATGCCTTGATCCATTTTATTGTGCTTGGCAGAATCAAAGAGTGCCTAGATCAGTATGTACTGCTACCAAGCTTTTCAACGAATGTTTGACCGTTCACTGTCTTGTTAAATCCTTCCAAATGTTTTATGGTAGACAGAATGATATTTCTACCAAATATGACAGGCCGCTTGCAATATATGTGCATGGTGGGTGCTACCGGTAGAGCAGGACACGTTCCCCCTTTTCGCGAACACCTGGTGTCATTCCGATTTGTAATCAGTAATCCATGCATATATTGTTCTCTTTACATCGCCACAAATGCCCCATTGAATCTGTTTCGGCAGATATGATAAATCACAGCCCTAAGGCGTTGACGTTTACTATTAAATATCATTAATAAGTGCAATCGGGTTCGTTAGTGTTGCTGTTGCTGAATGGTGTCATAGTGCAGTAATGGTTAAAGTAATTTTAGTATCTGCGACAATTTAATACGCAAGAGTTAATAAAAAACAACAACATACACTCTCTCAAAAAAGAAACGCAACCCCTATATTTTCAAGATGTTTATCTCAATATGCAAGTTATTATAACACATTTAATATTGAAGACAACAATATGACATTTGGCATGGTGGCAGTACAGTTATGCATCTTTAAGTCCAGACTTCGACAGTTCTCTCACTAAGATTGACTTGACGCAATGGGGCGTCTCTGATCTTTGGTTGTAAGACATGGCTCCCCACATCATGACGTTCCCTCCTCCAAATCTGTCGACCTGCCGAACACAGTTCGGGGAAAAACGTTCGTTTCCTCTTCTATAGACACGCTGTCTTCCGTCACGGCGTTGTAAGAGAAAACGTGATTCGTCACTAAACCAGACGCGCCTCCAGTTTCTCAGGGTCCATATCCGAACGTTGGTGCACCACCTGATGTTGGTGGCGTAAAACAGGTCCAATAAGTGGTCTTCTTGCACGTAGACCGGCCTCTAGTAGACGGTTCCTAATTGTTTGTGCGGACACTCTTCTCAAACCTGGCACCTGTGTTGCAGTGACGGTAGGTGTGGCTAGCCGATTACGTAGGTGGGTGACCCGGATGAATCGATCCTGAGGTTGTGTGGTAACCCTTGGCCTACCATTTCTGGGGCGATCGACAGTTGCATGAAACTGGGTGTATCGGCTCCAAAGTCGGGAAATCGTTGTTTTATGAACATTGAGGTGCCGGGCAACGTTTCCAAAGCTTTGTCCGGCCTCAATACGACCAATGGCGATATTTCGATCTGCAGCACTCAACCGTAGCATATTCGACCTTGTCTTTCGGTGAAAATGATAGAGTGAATCTCTAATCAACGCGTGCTTTTATAAGCCCATACTTCTACTGCTCTTTCCATGAATTGCACGTGCATGAGGCTTTTGGCATGGGCCACGTGAAAACTGTGCTCACTATGATGAAAGAAACAATAAAATGCCCTTGTGCACGAAAATTGGTGTGTTTGGGCGCTTACGTTAATAAACAGTGTACATGGTATAAGTGCATATCAGAAAAATTGTATTTACAATCAATATTTTTTCTTCTGGGGGTTTTCTCACATTTTCAGACTGGGGTTGCGTTTCTTTTTTGAGAGAGTGTATTTGGAATGTTTTCACAGTTAATTCAGTTATTATTCATAACAACGATCTGACCGATGCACAATTATACACATGAATTTTGACATCTGAGAATTGATCGTTAATGGGATAAAGTATGAAACCGTCTTTAGGATAACGTTCCAATGAAACAAACACATGCAACAAAAAATTTATCAAACTCAAATTTATTTTATAAAGTGGGTATTGTTCGAGTTAAGGTGCATAGTCTTATCTGTTTCCTTACACAAACTACTTTAAGATAACTAAAGTAAATGTCTTCTGGGTTTTATGACATCCATGTCTATTGCATATTAGCACAAGATATTTTCAATTCTAGATTCCAAAAAGGACTGGCCACTTTGGGAGTGCTTGCAGAAATGCGTGTTCACATCAAAGAAGTAAGGGAACTTTTCTGTTTCGATGAAAAGTATGAATTGAACGCTTCTGTGCTTGAAATGGTGTTCAGTGAACCATCCTTCTCCGAACCTGGGAGCAACAGGCGCAGAATGGAAGAAGAGACAGTCAGTTATTGGATGGACTATCTTCTGGACGTAGCAGGTAATGAGATAAGAAAAACAGTCGGACGTTAGTGTGTTTATAATAACTGTCATGGTGAACAAAGAATATTTATAACAGCAAATTACATGGGGATATCCATATGTAAAGCTAGAACGTGTTTGAGAGTCCAGATAACCAGACACGATCAGGACTGAGAACATGGTCCCTCTTGTGTGTGTCTCTATCACCTGTTAAGATCTAACTGCATTCGCAAATATGTGTCATGATGTATTGTCAAATGAGTGAATATGGTCGGTGAGTTAATGTGGTTGGGTACATATTGTTTAGTGAGTTCCTATGTTTGGGTACTTTCTTTATTTGACAAAACTGTATTTTCAGAGGGCACAGAATCAGTCACCCTGAGTGACATATTGGTTTTTGCGACTGGCGCGGGATCCATTCCCCCCCTTGGTCTCCATCCACAGCCGCAGCTGACATTCCACACTGCAATTGAACTCAACCCTGAGAACAGAGAGAACTTCCCTCGAGCTAACACATGTGCAAATGTATTAGACATTCCAATGATCAGTAATTATAACCTGTTCAAGAAAAACATGAATGCAGCAATCAGTGTGAATATCTTCACTTCCGAGTGAAAAGACGGGCATGACTGTTTGTCATGAATTGTCTTCCCCCTTTAAGTTTTGTTTTGCATTTGTTTCACTTTTACAGAACTGTTCTGCTATAATCGATTGAGCTTTTAGTCTAATTTTATTGAATCTGTTACTACCAAATAGGTTAATTGGTACTGACATCTGATTGTTTAAGAAGATTTTATTTACACCTGTTCAAAACATTTTTAGACGAATGTCCTATCGTATTATTTCTAATATACAAACCAGGTGTTGAATTTTTAATGGTTTGATGAGGTATGTTATTAAAGTTTAGTTTAAAGGAATTGCATGCTTTGATATCAACATGACAATACCGTGTTCCCTGTAGGGTCAGAAGAGGGGTCGTTTGAATCATTTTACATTTTGTGCTTTTGGTACAAGAGAAACCTTAAATTACTATGACCCGTTTAAATGTGTCTCTTAATGTGAAAATTAAGCGGAATTTGTTTTTGGAGTTTTTGTTGAGACAAAGAAATATTAGCTCATAGGTTTGTGGCATATAGTAAACGTGTTATTTTGTAAGCCTGTAAAGAACGTTTATTGTAATGAAACGAAGAAGGATGCAGATATGTTCTTTCTTTAAAACCCCAAATACGTTTAAATGACCATTGTAAGCAAGTTTTTTTGCAGTCAACATGTTTATGTTGTAATGGAAATTAAAAAAATATTGATGTTGTTGGTTAAGAATTACTAAGTTTGGGTACAGAAGGTTTAAAACTTACAAATATCGCATCTGTTAACATTTTGATTTATTTGGATTGCATATTATGAACATCTTGTTATGTTTTGAACAGACAGAATAAATCCTGTTTAATTGATAAAAGTTAATGGAAGTCACTCTACCCCAGATATCCTGTTTTTTTCCCGGTGTGGATTACACCGTTAGCATTATAGTTTCTTGAAGTATTGTATTAAATTTGCAGTCATTTTAAAAAGCTGTCACACAACACAATAAAGAGCCATCAGTTAACAGCTTAACAGGCTATTTTATGTCATTCTTTTAATGTTAATTCGTGAACATTCATTTGTTTCATGTATCTACCTAGACTGATAGTTTTGGAGTACAACGTTCAAAGTACATAATTTGCGTTGCGAACTGATATAAAACTTATTATCATAGCAAATAGTCATCTGATAATCTTTACTTATATTACCACCAGGGCTTGTAATTCAACAATTTAAGCAATTGTTCCAAAGGTCTGCGACTACAGAATTATAACATTTTACGAATGACGTGTCAGCTTTCTGTAATTCGGACATTATGTTAATCATGCACTAAACAAGTCAACTAAGCTTATGCAAGTTATTGTATGCACATAAATTTATTGTAGGGTTGCGGCTTTTGTATCAGCAAACATTTGTCAGAAGTGCAATCAGTTGGAAGTTTTGCTTATACTTCTTGTAAAACATCAGATCTAGAGTGAATCAATGTTAAATTTGGGAAATGGTTTATGTCTGAAACATTAAACGAAAGTTTGTACTGGCATTTATACCTGCTTTAGTTGCAAAACACTAATGTTAATCATAACCATCAATAGGAATACGTGCCTCGTGGAAGGAGGCAACGAGTTACATTTGGTAGGATCATAAAACAGATGTATATTAGACTTTACTACAGGACTTCGTAGATTTCTTGTCGGAGATGTATATACAGATCAGCTGCTTCTTGAGCATTCGTTGCCGGTTGTAGGTTGTCTCTCCCCATGACTTTAGTACATATTTCATAAACGTCTTCATCACAGGGGATTGTTGAGCGAATCACGGCTTCCTCAAGGCAGGTAGAGACGTCTTCGTCGGACACAACACAGAGTTGATCTTCAGTTTCCCATAGAGCTGGAGCACTGTACATTTGCTCTGGATGACCACTTGCAATATTGTTTCTTGAGGGTCTAATGCAATGGTTGTCCCAAACGGCAGCCACGGAATCCAGATCATCCTAAAAATGTTAATGTTAAAGAATTGTTTCCAACCGATTTATCTGGTGTAGATTAGGACATGAAAACAGCAAAAACCTGTTTTATATTGTATTGATCATTGTAGGTAACAGTAACATATTTTATAGTAAAGAGAAATATAAAATATATGTCGAAGAAAGTTTACATGTATGAAGTCGTTACTTTATGTATGAACAGTTCTACTTGCATGACATAATACAATAAAGTGTACCTGAACAATAGCCATGAAACAAAACTGGATAAGGTTTTTGTCCAAGAAATCTCCCCTGAAATCTCCATTTTCCTCGAGACCTTTGAACGTTTCAATCCAAAACTGTGTACATTCCTTTCTTAGAAATGACCACCAGACTTCGATTCTTTGATTTGATGTACTGGAACCATCAATGAAGCATCTTCCGGCTTGTGGATCTGTATTGTCACGTCGAAGATACTGTTGATACACTCGGACGTGTACATTTTCTGTACCATGGTCAGCCCTTACAATGCGTGGGCAACCTCTGTGGGTCCTAACGGCCTCTAAAAAGTATCCACCAATTACCTTTGGATTGTTGTTGGTATTGTAGACCTTGATCCATATTACTTTTCTTGAAAATCCACAAACACAAGCGTGGATACAAAGTCCAAATGGTTTAAGTTTATCATATCCATCTACATGCCAAACAAAATTTGGCCCTTTGGCATAATAGGAACGCCGACGTAGTCGCCGAACTCTCCTTGATGCAACTCCCACTGGATCTAGATGACGCAAAATAAGTCGAACGTCTTCCATTCTAGCCTTTACACCACTTTGTTGACATCTAGCGTACATGATACGGTAGCCACACAGTTGTCCTGAAGCTGATAGTTGATCCTGTATAAAACTCACAACATCCACGAGAGGGCTGAATCTACGACGACTCAGATTCATAGTCCTCAGAATTCTCTTAAGGTGCCGCACACTTAGTTTGAATCCATAGATGTTGTCAAGAATGTACACAATATCCTTGTAATTGATTCCAAGATGGAAATAATGTGATATTACTTCACTGCGAAGGTCTTGATTCATAATATGACCAAGTTTCATAAGTAATGGAATGATGAAAAGTATATAAAATGGCCGACCAAAACAGCAATTCTATTGGTTAAATTATCTCATGGCCACGACTTATTATCTCGTGGCCACGACTTATTATTTTGTGGCCACGCCTTATAATCTCGTGGCCACGCCTTATTATCTCGTGGCCACGCCTTATTATCTCGTGGCCTCGACTTATTATGTCGTGGCCACGCCTTATTATCTCGTGGCCTCGACTTATTATGTCGTGGCCACGCCTTATTATCTCGTGGCCTCGACTTATTATCTCGTGGCCACGCCTTACTATTGATATTTATTTTCTCATCCGATGTCCCCTCTACGGTTCCGTAGTCTTCTCCGTTGGTGGTGTTGGACATTTTTTTCTATTCAATTTTCTTCGGGTTCCGAAATTGAGTGAGACGACCGACCAGAAACATACGGGTGGGGTGCGCAGTGGGGTGTGGTTGCCATTACAAACACATTTATACCCTGTCAAAAAAAACACGCCAAACTATAAACAAAGAGTCACAGCATTATGGGTCCATGATCCCGGATCCATGTCTTTAATTAATGGCTACGTTCAGTGACGGAGTCCGGATACAAGTCGATCAGACTTCGCATCACCAGACAAGTAGGAGAAAAAACATTCTTGTCAGTCACTATCCGTGACCATGTCGTGACTCCCACCCACGCACTACACCTGTACAGATGGAGTGATTATCTAGCGTCATTGAATTCAGCGAAATGCTGTTGCAAGTTTTAGATAGAATTTCTGTTATTATTCGTGTAAAAATATTCTATTTTGAATCTTTGTTGTGTCAAAACAAACTGAATACATAACTAAAGTCCAAAAGAAAGCAACCCATGGGAGATGTTAGAAAAATACAAAGAAAAGGATTTTGTACAAATATGTTTTTTTTGCAACTACTCAAACGTCATGTGCATTTGATAGGAACACAAAGTTTAAAACCAGTGATTTGAAATTTCATCTATCGCAACTATATTTTCGACTTTATTAATTGTTGTAACTCTCAGACCAGATTTTGATTTAGCAGCTAATTGTCCACAAACACAAATGAAAAAATGACAGAACAAATACGTTTTGCTGACTGTTGTGACGAGTGTGATCAGGTTTAACCCCGTCTCAACCCAAAGCGCGATGCACACCAAGCTTATTGTTACGGCAATGTATCTGTTACGGCAATGTATCTGTTGATCTCTTGAACGCTGATCTGTGCACATTCTTCAGGCTCGTACTGGAGTATGGCCCTGCCTAGAATTCATGAAATGACATGCTTAGAGATAAAATTGGGTTTAACATCGCGTCCAAGATTGGTGCACTTTTATAGCGACGTGCATGTACGTGTGTGTGTGTGTGTGAGTGTGCGTGTGTGTGTGTGGCTGCTTGTACTAGTCCAGACTGATGTCGATTTATAGTGCTAAGCCCACTGAGATACCATGCCGCAGTTTAGCCCCTTAATGCCGAGCGCCAGACAGGGTAACAAGTGCCATCTCTAACGTCTTTTGGTATGACGCGGCCGGGGATCGAACCCCGGACCTTTCGCTCTCCGGGCGGACGCTCTACCACTAGACCACGGACATTCCTAGACGTGGCAGTGGAATCCCAGAGACTGTATGGCGAACACTATTGGAAGTCGTGATATATTTTTCAAGTTGTATTCAGTAATCCTTGGGGCAACTGCACCGACAGTTACTCCCCTTACTCAGTCAAGGATACGCTGATATGAGTTTGAAACAATTGCCACTGATTATATCCTTGATGTGTCAGCATCATTCACGTGATCTCGTGTCTCAACAAAGTGGTGGACGTCTACGTTCAACGTGGCTTTGATCTTTCCTCCAACATCAAGCTGTCACGCCATGATGGAACTTAAATACTGTTTGAAGCGGCGTTACACTTAACTCACTGCCAATCAGAACATGACCTCCTTGCTTGCATTTAAGAGGACAGCAGGGGACATAATGTAGGAGCGCATATGTTTCCGTTTCGGGGACAGTTTTTTTTCATTTGATATTAAATTCTTAAAGGAACTAGTTTGGATCCAATTGGCAGACTGCATTACCCTTCTTCTTCTTCTTCTTCTTCTTCTTCTTCTTCTTCTTCTACTCGTCACGCCAAAGACCCGGGTTCGATTCCCGACATGGGTACAATGTGTGAAGCCCATGTCTGGTGTCCCCCGCCGTGATATTGCTGGAATATTGCTAAAAGCGGCGTAAAACCAAACTCACTCACTCACTCACTCTTCTTGTACTATTTACCCAACAACAATGGCTGACATCGCACTGCTAGTATATGGGTCAATTGTCGTTTCTTAGGCCAGGTTTACACAGTGCCGATTACGGCACCAGTTTGAGATCAGACAGCGCTACGACACGAAAAGTGAAAAAAGTCGGATTACTATCCTCAATGACCTGGAATGACCTATCATTATCTGAACGCAGTCGTATACGTTCGTAACAGAGTCCTACGGATCGGGAAAGGTCCAGAGAGGTCGGCCAGGCACTCCAGACAGTATGGTGCGTCCCGTAACATTCGGGAAACTCAGCCGATTTTGTCTAGTCGGAATACAATCGTGACTATGTCGTGACAGATTCTTCTGTATCGGATCAAAATCGTAACAGTGTCCTGTGTTGTTTGGACGGTGATCTGTGGGTCGGGATGCTGTCGTGATGAACAAGCATGAATTGTTCATTGCCGTTTCTTGTCGATTGAGTCCAGATTGCGTCCAGATCGTGCGGAATGCGAACCGTCTTTGTCGGTTCACTGTTCGGTCACTGTCTGATCTCTGTCGGATCGCATTCGGGAGAATCGGGACGCTGTCGGGACAGATTTGGTCACGATGCGGAAGATACAAATCGGATCAGATTCGGATTGAGAACGGGAGAATCGGGACGAATTCGGCTGGAAACGGCTGAATCGGGACGCTTCCTGAACAATATCTGATTGTTTGTAAATTTCCTGCCACGAACCTAGGATCTTGATTAGACTTTTGACAAATTTTAAACGGGAATGGCCCTATCAAGGATGACAGTAAACCCCCTAAATGTGTGACTGAGCCTTTAAAGTCTACGTTAATTAAACCTGCATGTTTTGGCCAATATGAATTATATATTCTTGAATAAATGTCTTACACACATTCCATTACGGGGCGGTCGGGTAGCCTAGTGGTAACAGCGCTCGCTCGTCACACCGAAGACCCGGGTTCGAATCCCGACATGGGTACAATGTGTGAAGGCCATTTCTGGTGTCCCCCGCCGTGATATTGCTGGAATATTGCTAGAAGCGGCGTAAAACCATACTCCCTCATTCACTCACATTCCATTACACAGCTTATATACATTATACTTTAAAATCAAGTAACTCAGAAAATAAACATATTTTATCTTTACACCATCGTCACTGATAGTTTGGATCAAATAACAGTACAAATGACATTCCAATCTGTGATCAGACAACATCTAATCATTGCAATGTTATTTGAGATATTTATATTATATGGACTATGTTCACATTTCGTAACGTCCCACATACAACCAAGTAAAATCTTGGCCCCTCCGTATTCCTTCTTTATTCATCAGTTTTCGGGTGTGTCGAACCTCGACTAACTCGAAGTATTTACGTAGGTCCCTTCAACTTCGACACAACGGTATTTGACTATTTATTCCAATATGAATAGATGTTATTTGTTACAGTCAGTGCATGGTGGTAACGGTGCCGGAAGCGGTGACATCATATACTGGCTACTGCCTCGGATTCATACTTAAACCATCCATGCTCCCCACTAACACCAGATGTCATCTTTCTTGAACATAATGCCGAACCTTGGGGTCGTCAAAGTTGGAATAACCCCCCTCAGTCTTTGCTTTCCGTTCTATTCCTATCCACAATATATACCACATACACGTGTAAAAGTAACTGTGGATACATTCTTATGTTTCATGCTTTGACCTTTTTAGAAGTAAAACCAATACCAAAACTCATGTTCTTTAGCGTTGGAGTGAAATCTACATGCATTTAATATGATAGAATGAAACATACTTTCATTTTGTAAATTACAATTTGAAACAAGTTTAAAATTTAAAATTCAGATTCTGTAGTTTCTATGCTTTGTTTGTTTGTTTGTTGTTTAATGCTACACTCAGCAATATTCCAGCTGTATGACGGCGGTCTGTAAATAATCGAGTCTGGACCAGACAATCCAGTGATTGACATCATGAGCATCGATCCACGCGATTGAGATACGATGACATGCATCAGCCAAGTCAGCGAGCCTTAACACCCAATCCCATTAGTCGCCTCTTACAAGCATAGTCGCTTTTTACGGCCAGCATGGGTTGCTAAAGACCCATTCTACCCCGGATCTTCACTTGTCTCTATGCGTTCTACATAGTTTATGATGAAATGTCTGGTTATTTCTCTTAGAGGTGTACGGCAATTTGAAATATCATACAGTCAAGCATGTTCTAAATCAAAACCGTACAAAAGTATTTGCTTTAACAATCGAACGATTTAGATGAGACTAAACTTTATACCAACTAAAACTATCTTGTGTCTGTTTTTGTTTTCATACATTCGAATTTAGGCCGATGTTTATTCACGAGACTGTCATTTATTTACCTATCAGTATATAAGTGCATGTGTATAATATAAAACCTCAACGCCAGATGATAACCAGTCTCGATTATCCGCCGAAGTAGAATCGGGCTTTAAAGGCAAAATAGCCGTGAAAAGTATATGAATGGATAAAGGACCTTTTTACACAGGGCTGCGATCGTTGTGTCACATTTGAGCGATAAAAAACTGGCCAGGACGCTGAATGGTCGCCTAAACCCAGGAAATCATGTTTCAATGTAACTGCTACAGAAGGTGTTCAGCAGTAACTGCTCGAGTTGTTCAGCGTCTGCAACTACAATGAAAAACTGCAGGTACAAGCCCTCTATTTATAGGCACTCTGAGGAGGCACTTCAGGTAGCTCAAAGGAGGCAGGAAAGAGGCAGAAGCATTGCCATGGTGTCTCAAGGGTTGCCGTGGTCGCCAAATGGAGGCACGGCGGTCGCCAGTCATCGTTCAATGCAC